TGGTATTGGTTAAATGTCGTCCGGTATGAATGGACTACACATGACTGCGCATTTCAGTCTGGAGGTGGAACTGTATACACCATACATTACCATAATAACAAACACAAACACAAGCCAAATTTTTATACAGAATATCACAAACAAATACGGTTCCAAACAAATATCTCGTAGTTACAGGGGGTAACTTGTTTCCTGCTTGTTTAACAGTTTAACACACATTCATTAACAACACCTAAAACATTGAATATCAAACCAATCCATGTTGTTTTTCCTAACATACGATACACTCAAACACAAATTCTTAACAAACACATTGACATCATGCACATTATCTTTGCATGTCAACTTCCATACAGATCAAACCATGCTTAATCCCATGGTGGCAAAACATGTTTCTCAAACCCACACTGTCGCCATGTCAACTTCTGTATAGATCATACCATATTTACATACACATGTCCATATCGCATTACGAACCAATGGCTTGTACATGCACATTAAAATATAACATACTATTTTCATTATTCGGACATTACCATCACCATTCAACAATATGGTAACAGACGCCTACCACCACGAATAAGTCAATAACCATTCAGAAGTCAATGATGTATTAGTAGGCATGTAAAGAATAACCTTTTCAGATGTAAAGTTCAAAGCTGATAATATGGAATATAAGGAACTATTTGAACTACTTGGCAAATAATATCAATGTTAATATTAAAAACCAAACGTCTTGAAACCAACGCTAAACCCAATGTTGCATCATTCAGCATAATAATAAGGTACCATAGGTCAACAATCCAAACTTCAATTTTCTCCTAACGTTCTGTTTTCGCACATTAATAAAACAATTATGTACGTCGACAACACTTCAAAAATAACCACCTTACTTAGGTTATTGCAGCTTATGATATGAGTATGGTGAACACCTCTTACAATGTCCTCGCACAAAGTCCTCTTTCCAGGTCACTCAAAAACATGTCCACCATTACAACGTGTAGCCAAGTGGGTGTGAGACCGTCCATGGTTGTATTGACTTCTATCCCACGAATGTGCTGCCTGATAATGAAGCACATGAAAATTTTGCAATCCGACCTGCATTCACAGATGTCGGTACCAACGTCACTTACTCAATACATCATCAAATCAATGAACTTAATCTAATATAAACATTACTTACAACTCTAGAACTTGTTGCGGTCAATCCACAACAGATACAAAACTGTCATCATAAACATCTGCCCCAATGCCCTCAGTTGTAACTCTAGGTTTCACAATTTGTTGTGGTGGTTAGCCACCCATTGTTTCTGTTGAACGTTCACATGTTAGTTTAGCTACGTACGGGGTAATATGATAACTTCCAAAATTACAATTCATCAAGCATTCACATACAAACTAAGATTGATAAACTACCATTGCACCACCACTACAATTCGTCAAACATTTATATACAAACTACTATTGGTTTTGTTGTACTTACAACTTCTAAAGCCTCATTGTAATGCTTATCACGCATCCCACATCGTGGCCTCATAGAGTTTTAATGTTTCCAATTCCCGCTTTCTGAATCATGTACCATGACTGTCCAATGGTTGGCATTGTAGATAAGGAAAAGTGTGTATCTACAATCGCGCGCTGCCTTCGTGTGTACGTTCAAGTACTTCATTTGTGATACAACAGTGTTGTTTCGCATCATATCCTACACAATTGTTCACAACTAACCCCGTCCTATTAGATTTCATTCAACCAAAATAAATTTAAAATTTCGTGTAAACCAACAATAGTTGTGTTACATACCGAACACACACTACTGTAAATGTATGTTGTGCCCACATATTCTAGTCTTCTTGACACCATTTTATGCATTTCTGTCAACATAACAGCGTACTCATCGATTACCTACACCATATGTTAACCATTAATATTCCAATGCACTAGTAATAATAATTTGTAAATTTATGTACACTATGTGCTACTAACATTTTGTTACCATCATGTGGAAGTGCATGCATTTACATATTCATGACGGTGCGTTATTAAATACATCTAACATATATGTGTTTAATACCATGTATGTCACATCCGTCATATACCACATATCTGCATTCATCATATATATGTGTCAATTAACTTGCAAGGTACTCTGTCTGTGGATTTTTTTTTTGTTACAAATTGCATGTTGTGACAGCCACATCAATAACGATACGATTGAAACAATGTTTACGTATGTATGAGGGGTTTTAAAAAAATTACGACTCTTCAACGTTAAATGATATGAGACCAGCTTATATTCCCATGGATGGAGTTTTGCTGCACCAAGGCTTTGATGTTTGTGAAATGCACTTGTATTCCATTGTGTCCACCGTCCTATACTATTAACCTGTAAATAATAAATCAAATTTAACAACCACCATAATACACCATTTAGAACTTCTAAACGTAAAATAGTACAACATTCCATACGAACAACCTACCTGTTACCCTCTAAACTGTACATTCTCTTTAGTAGTTGCCTATCGTCATCCTTCAACATCTACCACACAGTGTGCCTCCTATTCATACCAAAACCAAGCTAGGCTTTATGTTCCACCTCGACGTCCTCGACACTGTAAATCACCCCGGGCTCAACCAATTTACCAAGCCTCACATTGTCACTTACTTTTTGTCGCCCAAATATGTCGGGATATTCATAGTCAGACAACCTAAATTCCCGTCTTGGCTTGTTTTTCACCCGTTTAACAAATGACGTCATTTTCAACCCAGTACTTGTTGCAACAATTGTGTCTTCCCAACCAGCTTGTACGCCAATGATAGTTGCGCCAACATTTACAGTTCCACAACACACTGACTATGCATTACAGGGATTGCAACTACCTTCCACACCTGCCACAGTCAAACGCACATACCCATTGGCACAGTCAACCGTCAAATCTTCAACCCCAGCTTCGTCTTCAACAAATTTTAATGCGGGGATCCCAATATCTTTGGTTTGACCTGCAGGACATGTAGACTACTACTCACTTTCGCCATTCGTCATGTTGCCAGAACCACTCATTTTCCCCGATCGACTGTTACTCGGTGTTCGCTAATTAGATCCATCATTCGCAACACATCGTGTTACCTCGTGCACCTTGCAATCATCAAGATTATCCTTCAAATTGGTTAATTTCGACTCTAATCAATCAACCAGCGTACTAAGTTGTGCAATTTCAGCATCCTTCTCGACAATAACACTATTAAAGTCTACAAACAAATTAGCAACATGCCTCCCAAGCAGTTTCTCCATCATTTCGACACGATATTCCATTTCATGTACCCGTGCGTCTTTATTCTTAATTTCACTCTCCAACTCAGTGATTCTGACTTTAGCAGTTCTCAACTCATCATTCACCCCCGTTAGTTCTGTACCAATGGCTTCACCATCCGATGTACTGGACAGGTCTAAAAGATCCGAGAACAATACCGGCCACACTTCTCCACCTGCCAACATCTTCCCATCCACTTTTTCCTTACTGGTCGGTGTACCAGTATTGTTATTCTCATAATCATCATTACAAGAATTTTCACTTTTGGCGACTAAGCCAAAAGTTAATTTTTAGTCACTGAATGGTTTTGGCAACTAAATTATTTGGTCACAAAAGTAGGTGCCAAAAAATTGTCGGTAAAGGTAATTAGCGACTAAAATTATTTTAGTTGCCAAATGTATACAATTCCCGACTAAAATTTTAGTTGCTAAAAGGTTAGACATTAAATTAAATTAAACCCTTTTTGGCGACCAAACTTTTAGTCGCCTAAAGTCTCACCTTTTTAGCTACTAAAAATTTAGTCGTCAAAAGTCCCCATCTTTGGCTACTAAATGTTTAGTCGACAAAGAGTTCCTCTTTTGGCTACTAAATATTTGGTTGCCGAAAGTTCTACATTTTCGGCTACTAAAATTTTAGTCGGCAAAAGTGTTTTTATAATTTAGTTTTTTGTTTTTAGCTACAAAATATTTTAGTCGCCAAATGTTTGATTTTCTTTTGGCTACTAAACTTTTAGTCGCCAAATGTCTATTTTTTTTTTTTAGCTACTAAAATTTTAGTCGCTAAATGTCTTCTTTTTTTTTCGCTACAAAACTTTTAGTCGCCAAATGTTTTTTCCCAATTTTTTTTTAGCTACTAATTGTTTAGTCGCCAAAAACATGATATTATGTTTTATCGCAAAATTATAATTTCTCCACAACCTGTCTATATCAATGCAACATGTAATACGTATATAAACAAAATGATACATACTATCAATCATTCTACAATCTGCATCCATATACCAAAAATAAATAACATTAAATATCAAAGTCCATACAAATCAACTATTGTCGAAACTAAACTAACAATTCCATACAAAATATATCACACAAAAATCAAAGCCCTCCGCATACAAAAAATTCATTTATTACCAAGCGAAATTACCATTTAGCATGGTACAAATTACCATCGTAATCTGTACCACATCAAAAAGTGATATAAGTACCACGACAAAAGTTTTCTATGGACCATGACAAAACGTCCTATATGTACACCGACAAATGGTATATATGTACCACGACAGAAGGTGATCTATGTACCATGACAGTCATTATCTGTTGATTGTCAAAAGTTTTATGTATCAGTAATAATGAACTACACAAAAGCTGAGGACGACAAAAGTATTTTTTTTTTTTGGCTACAAAACTTTTAGTCGCCAAATGTTTTTTCCCAATTTTTTTTTAGCTACTAATTGTTTAGTCGCCAAAAACATGATATTATGTTTTATCGCAAAATTATAATTTCTCCACAACCTGTCTATATCAATGCAACATGTAATACGTATATAAACAAAATGATACATACTATCAATCATTCTACAATCTGCATCCATATACCAAAAATAAATAACATTAAATATCAAAGTCCATACAAATCAACTATTGTTGAAACTAAACTAACAATTCCATACAAAATATATCACACAAAAATCAAAGCCCTCCGCATACAAAAAATTCATTTATTACCAAGCGAAATTACCATTTAGCATGGTACAAATTACCATCGTAATCTGTACCACATCAAAAGGTGATATAAGTACCACGACAAAAGTTTTCTATGGACCATGACAAAACGTCCTATATGTACATCGACAAATGGTATATATGTACCACGACAGAAGGTGATCTATGTACCATGACAGTCATTATCTGTTGATTGTCAAAAGTTTTATGTATCAGTAATAATGAACTACACAAAAGCTGAGGACGACAAAAGTATTATATTAGTTCTACACAAAAGTGAAAATTCTTCTCCATACACCAATATGGATTATCCACAAGTCCACGAAACAAAGCCATCTACAAAGAAAAATAAAAAACAAAACATTAGAATTGGTTACAAAATATCAATTCAGTCAGCCACATGGAATATGTTCTAACATGCATTTAAGGTAGAACAATCGAGAAACGTCTTCTTGGAAATAAAAGAAAGTATATATATATATATATCATGCAATATTTATTCCAACCAACTGCACAAACAATGTAATATGTAATTTCTTCGTCCTATAAATATATAAAGGCAATTATTAGAATATGTAGATGTTATTTTAATAAAGTTGTTTCTTTTTTAACTAAGTGTTGCAAGTTTTTCGACTATTTGTAAGGCATATTTGGGGGCTGTTATGAATTTTCGCTCTCGAAAAGCCCTTTTTTCAAGTAAGTTTAGGGCGTATTTGGATCTAACTCCCAACCTACGGGTCCGAATTACATTTCATTAGATCTCACAAGTCCTATTTGTCATGGCAAAGCTATTCGTGTGAGCCACACGGTCGTTTGGGGGCTGTTTTGAATTTTTGCCCCCAAAACGCCTTTTTTCGGCTAAGTTTAAGGCGTATTCGGATCTAACTCCCAACCTACAGGTCTGGATTACATTCCGTCAGTTGTCACAAGTCCTATTTGTCATGGGGGAACTGTCTATGTGAGCCACATAGTGGTTTGAGGGCTGTTTTGAATTTTCGCCCTTGAAACGCCCTTTTTCGACTAAGTTTAGGGCGTATTCGGCTCTAACTCCCAACCTACGAGTCCGAATTACGTTTCATCAATTATCACAAGTCCTATTTGTTATGAGGGAACTGTCCGTATAAGCCACACAGTGGTTTGGGGGCTGTTTTGAATTTTTTTCCCCGAAACGCCCTTTTTCGACTAAGTTTAGGGCGTATTCGGCTCTAACTCCCAACCTACGGGTCTGAATTACGTTCCGTCAGTTCTCACAAGTCTTATTTTTCATGGTGAAGCTATCTGTGTGAGCTACACGGTCGTTCAGGGGATGTTTTGAATTTTTTCCCTTGAAATGCCCTTTTTCGACTAAGTTTAGGGCGTATTCGGCTCTAACTCTCTACCTACGAGTCTGAATTACGTTCCGTCAGTTGTTACAAGTCTTATTTGTCATGGGAAAGCTGTCTATGAGAGTCACATGATCGTTCGGGGGCTATTTTGAATTTTTGCCCCTGAAACGCCCTTTTTCGACTAAGTTTAGGACGTATTTGGCTTTAACTCCCAACCTACGGGTCCAAATTGCATTCCGTCATTTGTCACAAGTCTTATTTGTCCTGGGGAAACTGTCTGTGTGAGCCACACGTTGGTTCGGGGGTTGTTTTTAATTTTTGCCCCTGAAATGCCCTTTTTCGAGTAAGTTTAAGGCGTATTCGGCTCTAACTCCCAACCTACGCGTCCGGATTACATTCCGTCAGTTGTCACGAGTCCTATTTGTCATGGGGAAGCTTCCCGTGAGAGTGACACGGTCGTTCAGGGGCTGCATTCGGCTCTAACTCTCTACCTACGGGTCCGAATTATGTTTCGTCAGTTATTTTTTATGGGGAAACTGTTCGTGAGAGTCACACGGTCGTTTAGGGGCTGTTTTGAATTTTTGCCCCCGAAATGCCCTTTTTTGACTAAGTTTAGGGCGTATTCGGCTCTAACTCCCAACCTATGAGTTCGGATTACATTCCATCAGTTGTCACAAGTCCTATTTGTCATGGGGAAGCTATCTGTGAGAGTCACAATGTTGTTCGGGGGCTGTTTTCAATTTTCGCCCTCGGAAAGTTCTTTTTCGAGTAAGTTTAGAGCGTATTTGGTTGTAACTCTCTACCTACAGGTCTGAATTACATTCTATCAGTTGTCACAAGTCCTATTTGTCATGGGGAAGCTATCCGTGAGAGTCACATGGTCATTCAGGGGCTGTTTTGAATTTTTTTCCAGAGATATGCTCTTTTCATTTTTTAGTTTTTGGTGATAATATATAATCATAATGATAAGCTTTGATTTAACAATCAACTATGTGCCTTAGTTGGTTGGATGGCATTACTGTCTTCCTTACACCCTATACACCATATGGACTTTACCTATCTAGTTTTAAATTTTGGAAGAAAAAATTTAGAGGTCAATTCAATTTGAATTCATTGGATAGTCAATGTCTAGTCAAATACATTTATCTGAACTTAAGAATTACTGAAAAACAGAGATGCAATTTTTTATTCCATCGAGTACATTTCTATGCTAACCTAAGATCATAACTGTGTGGAGAAACAATGTGTAGCTTATGTTGCTATAATATTAATTTTAATTTTGGTTTTTGAGCCCTTTTTTTTAATTAGTTTATCAAGATTTAGTTTCCGAATGTTTTCTTGGAGAGTTTTGTAACTTTTCTAACTATACTCCCTAAACATTGAATTGTATTAACTGTTTACAAACTTATCTAGCTGTATAGAAAATTTAGGTACAATATATGTAACTGTTGAAGAGGAATGATGAAAGTACACATTACACAGTTGACTAGATTGTTTGCTACTTTCTGTAAGTTCATTACAATACAGATGCAATGACGTAATGGCTCAATGCTAGAAATTACAAATGTAATGGCTCAACTGTTACTTGAGTGCAACAACATTACTCATAGTCTTCACTAAGATTTTTCATTTCTTCTTTTCTGTGTAACAAATTATAGGACTTAAAAACCAAAATTAACATCCAACAATTCCTGGACAATAAGCCCCATCTGACAGATCAAAATTTCAGCCTATTGACAAAATGAAAAATAAAATAAAAAATGCAAATAACAACTCTAATGAGATTAGTCTATCTCTAAAAGATCAGTGATAGAAGCATTCAAGGTCAAAATCGCATAATGGGTACTATGATAGGCCCTCTTTACCTACAGATATTTTAATTCTTCAATTGCATGATCTTAGCTTGCCCTCATGCTTAACAACAAGGAGATAGTATTTAAATTTAGATTTTTTTATTTTTTTATTTTAGATAACACCCAAGAAATTGATTGTCAAAACAATGTCAATGCCAAAAGTTAAGAAGACTTACAAGACCATTATGTTTGTGGGTGCGAAAAAAATGAAGCAAAGGCTCCAAACTTTCTTTATTACAGAACATGATTGAAGACAGGTGACGATTGAGAAATTGAACCCCATTGCCAATGGAAGATGACTGAGTTGGTCTAGGAAATGTTGTATTGAATGGCTCAAAATCAAGTTCCAGCACAAAATTTTCATTGTACCTAGACCAGGTTCCAAATTCTAGATTCCAATTAAACTTGTGATGAATTAAATAAATATGCAAAGGGGTAGATTAATAATCATTAAACAATTTCAAGGGAGGTTCCTTACTCTCCATCCACAAGTTCTTCTTTGGAGCGAAGATATTCTGGAACACTTAATTATTCCACACTCAGTTCATATACATTGACACGAACATATTCCCAAACACTAGGTCTTGGACGAATTGCTATTGCCACAAATGGGGGTAGAACTATAGCTTCTTGCAATTGTAATGTATTAATCAAGTGTGCAAGAAAAAAGAATCTGAACAAAATATAAACAGAAAAAGAATTCATTTATTGTGCAATTGTTCTAAAAGGCTTCCAAAGAATATGATTGTGAAACTAGAAGCATAATGCAGTTGGTACACAAAATCAGCACCAAAAATAGAAATAAGATTATTTATTGGAAAGTAAAATGCTGACATTTAAACAAGCATGGGCTTATTTTCTATGTGCATTAACAGACTCAGTTTATGCTACTAAACAAATCATCTTCTCATGCTAAATATTAAATAAGAGATGTTAATTTCACTGGAGATCATCTACATAACTGGATTTTTTGTGGATGATGTTTGCCAATGTCAAGAGAAGACTCATCTATTACATGGAAGGGAACCATTTATTAAGAGAAACCCTATTTCATTTATCATTTTTCAAATTGCATGGATCTTTCCCAAATAACATGGCTCCCTATCCTTGACATTCAGTTGCATGAAATAAAAATCAAAACAAATTGAAGAAACTAGAAAAGACTAAGATATAAAACAAGTCTCTAAGCTTCAGAACAATTTATTAAAACAAAAAGTGAAGTAATTTGGGTTTCTTATATATATGTACACACACAAATATGGTCGATGGCCTTGTGGCCTAGTGACATCACCCTAACAATTCCACAGCGGAGATTGGGGATTCAAGTTCGGTAGGGGCATGGGTGTTTGGATGGATTTGGGAGGGGCAGGGCATTAAGGGGTATTTGGGAGAATGCACCAATTAAAGAAAAAAACATACAAATTATATATACACATGCATTATACGAGCAAGAAATAATCTTCTCGTATAATCTTGTTGATCAAATCTGCGTTCCTCCAAACATCGTCGCTTTACTCCCTGAAAACACAAACGTGAGCTAGCCGGCGGGTGTGTACCGGATATCTCTACGATGCCTAAGTTAGCAAAATAGACAAATAGACAAAAGCTCTGTGTATTCAGGAATCAAAATTGTGTTACCTCTCCATAGGTGATGTTATGAGCTTTTATAGGTTCCATGTGGCATAATCCTAGTAGGACTCTTATTCCTCCATGTAGAGTCCTCCTATGAATCACACTCCTAAAGGATAATGTTTATCCTTCAACACCCCCATCACTGCTTAAACCAAATGAGATAGTTTTACCCCGGTTGGATGGCAGTACGATCGAGCTAACCTGGCTCAGATCTTCCCTTCAGTGCCTGTACCCTGGTTACGCATACTCCAACCGGGCTATTAACTTTTGACCGAGCTAACTGAGCTTCGTGCTCCAATGCACAACGCCAAGCTAGCTAGGCTCTCGTTCAGTTGTACCTCGGTTTCTTCCGTAAAGACCGTGCTATCCTATGGCAAGCTTGGACCGAGCTAATCAATGAGCAAGGTCCTCAGGAAAGCCAAAAATACCTCGGCTCAGCATGGTATGACCGAGCTAACTGTTGCCACTCTGACCGTGGTGACCGAGCTGACTACAAAGCTCCTTTGGACTGGGCTAATTACAAGGC